GGGGGGGGGGGGGTAGGGTTGAGGTAGACTCATCAATGCAAGACACTTTAAAACTAGGGCAGCCGTAGAACAGGTGATTGATGGTTCTCGCTCCCTGTACCATAATGATATTAATGGGTTTTTTCCCACGTTTTCTTTAACTTGCTTTCTCTGTTTGTCTTTCCAATCAAATCTTGCGATCGAAATTTCTGGCACTTCCCAGTTAGCTAGCGCGCTGAAATTTTCAGGGAAGCTTTCTTTTGGATGACCATTGAATATTCAATTGTTATTATTACTAAATTGATCAATGGAAACATTTTATTGAGCATTTTAGACCGCTATATAATCTATATATATAATCCTCCTCTGCTAGCCATTAGAAAAAAAAACCAGCGACGCGTACCTCGCGCGCAGTGAAGCGAACGATCACATGTCGCCACAGGCTTAGGGGCAGAGAATTTAGCTTGAACCGAGTTTAAACTTACAGAAGGTAGGCCAGTTTGGGGGAGACGATATGGTCGAGTGGTTGGGCACACGATTGCTATCCCACTCGACACGGGTTCAAATCTATGTGTTCTAGTCAGTAACGTATTCAAACAACGTGTTTTTTACGAGTTGTCTTTTTACGAGTTGTCTTTTTACGAGTTGTCTTTTTACGAGTTGTCTTCGTTTACCCAAAAAAAGTGAAAAGATAAAATCGATAGCAAGATTTTAATGCAAACAAACAGACAAAGACTAAAAAGTAGAAAATAATAATCATTAAAAAAGTTTTAAAAAACCCACGTTTTCTGATTGAACTAAAAAGTAGAAAATAAATGCTATAGGCCCTACATCACAATAATGCAAGCGATCACTCTACTATAAGCAAGCAAAAACGTGGGGCGCCGTGATTTTCTTACAGTTTCTAATACTGTTGACTCTCTACAAGCTCCCTAATAAAAGTCAATAGTATTATCTAATCAATAGTAATATAACTTTTACTTCGACGCCCCACGTTTTTGATCGCTTATAGTAGAGTGATCGCTTGCATTATTGTGATGTAGGGCCTATAGCATTTATTTTCTACTTTTTAGTTCAATCAGAAAACGTGGGTTTTTTAAAACTTTTTTAATGATTATTATTTACTTTTAGCATAATGATATTAAGGGTTTTGTCTACTTTTAACATAATAGTATTAATGGGTTTTATTTTACTTTTAACATTATGATATTAATAGGTTTTTTACTATTAACATAATGATATTAATGGGTTTTTTACTTTTAACATAATGATATTAATGGGTTTTATTTTACTTTTAACATTATGATATTAATAGGTTTTTTACTATTAACATAATGATATTAATGGGTTTTATTTTACTTTAACATAATGATATTAATGGGTTTTATTTTACTTTTAACATATTGATATTAATGGTTTTATTTTACTTTTAACATAATGATATTAATGGTTTGGTCTAGTTTTAACATAATGATATTAATGTGCTTCTTTTTACTTTAACAATTTTTTTTTATACTTTTAACATAAAGGTGTGAGTGGGTTTTTTTACTTTTAGCATAATGATATTAATGGTATTTTTTCCCCTTTAAACATATATTTCTTTCTTCTACTTTTAACAAAATTAAATTAATGTTTTTTCTCTACTTTTTACTTATATAATTAATGTTTTTTTTTTTTTTTTTTTTTTTTTTGACACAAACCAACTTGACCTCAAGAGTGACATTAATATAAAAAAATTGAAATCGAAAATATCGAAAACCCTGTATTGCTATCACGTCAGCAACAAGGTACCATTACATAGTATCACACACAGTTTTTTTTTGTCAATGTGGTATTTAATAATATTGGTTTAAATTATTTTATAACTATTTAACTCATTATACTATGGAGCGAAGAAAAATACTTTAAATTTTAAACTTCCTTTAAAAAGCAATAAAAGCAGATATTTTAAAAGCCTTTATTTAATGCAAAAGGGAGACTAAAATATTTGCACGGAAAGGGGAAAGAACCTGACGACTTAACCTAGCCATCAAATTTGAACCTAGAATGACAGGTTTGTCAATAGGTTTTTGTTAGATAACGCTAAGAACGTCAATTTTTATTAGAGGAAAATGTAGTATTAAGTTATTGAAAGTTTACACAATGACTGTAACAGTTTTGTTTCTCAATTCATAACGAAATACACTAGACATTCATTTCATTATGAATTTAGATTTATTTATTTAATATATTAGCAAATTTGTTAAGTATTTGACGAAAGCCGTTTTTAGAAAAATTCTTTTGCGTTGACTTTCAATACGAGCGATTAAATCAAGACAGCTATAGTAATTAAAAATGTAGAATAAATTTAAGATCCCCAGCTTTCTTAGGGGGATACCCCTCACCCCCCCCCCCCCCACACACACACACACACCACATACACATCATGTGAATACTCGTTTGTTTTATATAATAACAAGAGCCCAAACCCCACACATATCGCACTAAAGCGTCATACATATATCTATGCCCACACAATGTATATGGATTACGCAAGCAAAATTTGAAATAAATACACCGTAAAACAACAAAGAAATGATTAGATTAAATAAGAACAATGTCTTGTCCGCTTTTGAAAGAATGAACTTTAAAGGGAAAAAAACAAATGACAGACAAATTGGCTCAATTAGAACTCACATCTGTAGGGGAGAGGGGGGGGGGGTTGCTGGCTGGCTTTTATAAATGTAGAAAAACCTGATGTAATGTTTAAGAAATCGATGTTATTTTTAAGACGTATAATTTGTTACGTGCCTTTACTAACATTTTACAACTATATTACCACTCTTTGAAAAGCCGTGATAGTTTAGAGTATAAATCTAGTGCAGATTTTACTTAAAAAACGCAAAAAAGGTGAGAATAAAAAATAGATTTTTTTTTAAATGTGAAGTCAATAGGTCTGAGTTCAATACTCCACAAAATAAAATGTTTACCTTTCTAATACATAATTCGTGCGTTTCTTGATCTCGTTCAAAAGCTAATGAAAATTCCAAATTCCCAAATGGTGCCAAAACTGGCATAAAAATCGAGGTGATTTTTTTTAAAGATTGCAGCTGTATTTTATAAACAGATGGATGTTGTGGTACAGTCATTCAACCAATGACGTCATGCAGACACCTGATTACACCTTAGCCCTGCACCGGGCTGAAACAGACGGAAGATATAAATAGATTTATGTTGCGTCTGTTTCAATATTTTTACACCATACGCTGCAGGCGGCAGTGAATTTTTTTTATTTAAATAAATGTTCCGAGGTTTAAAACTGCATGAGTGAACCATTCTTCAACATGCTTAATGGGGAAAATCTATGAAGATTAAAAAAGAACTAGATCTATATGACATTGATAATGTGGTTTCTATGACAACTTTAAAAGAATTTTTGACATTTTCTACCCCCATACACCACATACAACATCGCCACAATATAGTTAATGTTTGTATGACCCACACACACACACACCACATACAACATAGTAAGTCCATGAATGTGTTTGTATGACCCCCACACACAACATACAACATAGTATGTCCACCATATAGATGATGTTTGTATGACCCACACACACACACCACATACAACATAGTAAGTCCATGAATGTGTTTGTATGACCCCCACACACAACATACAACATAGTATGTCCACCATATAGATGATGTTTGTATGACCCACACACACACACCACATACAACATAGTAAGTCCATAAATGTGTTTGTATGACCCCCACACACAACATACAACATAGTATGTCCACCATATAGCTGATGTTTGTATGACCCCCACACACCACATACAACATAGTAAGTCCATGAATGTGTTTGTATGACCCCCACATACAACATAGTATGTCCACCATACAGCTGTTGTTTGTATGACCCCCACACACAACATACAACATAGTAAGTCCATAAATGTGTTTGTATGACCCCCACATACAACATAGTATGTCCACCATATAGATGATGTTTGTATGACCCACCCACACCACATACAACATAGTAAGTCCATAAATGTGTTTGTATGACCCCCACACACCACATACAACAAAGTAAGTCCATAAATGTGTTTGTATGACCCACATACACCACATACAACATAGTAAGTCCATAAATGTGTTTGTATGACCCCCACACACAACATACAACATAAAAAGTCCATAAATGTGTTTGTATGACCCCCACACACCACATACAACATAGTATGTCCACCATATAGATGATGTTTGTATGACCCCCACACACAACATACAACATAGTATGTCCACCATATAGATGATGTTTGTGTAAGCTACCACAACATTGGCTTGGTATTACTAGTGTTTGAAATAAGTATTCTTAGATAGTTTGAGCGTGCGTGCGTGCTTGTATTTATGTATGTATGTAGCTTTGACTAAGTTTAATTATGCTTGGTACGACCGCCGTGGTCAGAATCTTTTATTGCCCAGGGTCCAACTAATGCTAAACTAGTGCTGAGTGTATCAGGTCGCCTGTCCTTTAGACCTAAAAAAGCAAAAAAAGTTGTGGGTGTTGTTCTGAGAGGCAGGTGTGAGGTGATGATGTTGTAAATTTGAGAACTCGTGTGCTACTGTTTGACGTGTTGTTGTTTTGTGTTCATAGACTCGGTGATGATGTTGTAAATTTGAGAACTCTTTTGCATATTTTTGACGTGTTGTTGTTTAGTGTTAACACACTCGGTGATGATGTTGTAAATTTGAGAAACCTTAGTGCACCTGTTTGACGTGTATGTGATGTATGTGTCTAAAGACACATGATGACGTGATGTTGTAAATTTAAGAACCCTTGGGCAACTGTTTAACGTGTTGTTATTTTGTGTTCACAGACTCGGTGATGTTGTTGTAAATTTGAGAACCCTTGAGCATATTTTTGAAGTGTTGTTGTTTTGTGTTCACAGAATAGGTGATGATGTTGTAAATTTGAGAACCCTTGTGTACATGTTTGACGTGTTGTTGTTGTTTTGTGTTCACAGACTCTGTACAAGACCTAATGGACGGCTGTTTGGACGGCTTCTTCGGCTACAAGTGCTTGAATCGATGCAACTGTGCGGACCGGCGCCCCTGCAACAAGGAGACAGGGGCGTGCGCTAATGGGTGCCGACCCGGGTTCTGGGGCCCGTCTTGTCTGTTGGGTGAGTCTTGGAGATATGACTTGTCATGATACTTTTTTTTTTTTTTTTTTTTTTTTTTTTTTTTTTTTTTTTTTTTTTTGCTGTCGGAAGATTTTTTTTACGTCACTATGTCGGCTTTTCAAACACTGAATTTATAAGTTAAAACTGAAATCTTTTTTTTTATTCTGATAAAACAGTTCACAATGACTAGAAAAATGTTACTGCCAGTTACACGAACAATACAGATTGCCGGAAAAAAAAACTTTCAGAACGATTGCAAATGTTGGATATAATCTTAAATGTCTACATGTAAAAAATTCGTCATCTCTCTACTATAAATCCATTGCTAAGTATAAAAATAACTCAGATTCCGACAAAATTGCAAGCGACCATGCTAACCTCCCTTAGTTAGCAATTAAAACATTTACAAAAACCAAAAGTAGTGCCGGCAATGTACCACCATTTAAAAAACTATCTGCAAGAACCAACGTCCTTAGATTATAACATAGCACCAGTCTTAAACCACCTACATCATACTTAACAACTGATCAGCTTTTGCCTATGCTATTTCCCACAGTATATCAGATGTATATTACAGAGCATACACGAATGCCTAACATATAAACCCGTAGTAAAAAAAAATTAAAAATCTTTAAAGAAAATTTATCTAGCGCAATTACGTCTCAACGTTTGACATTAATTAACTGCCACACTTTACAGATCCACGTTACATAACTGAATGATTGATATCGTAACTAAAACATTAATTTTTACAGTAACATTTAACATGTGTATCAATGTACTTCTGATTAACACGCGTGCTAATGTTTAGGCCCTACATACGCAAGCTGATACTCACACATCACGTGCTAATGTGTACATACATCAGTTTATACTCACACATCACGTGCTAATGTGTAGGCCCTTCATACACAAGCTGATACTCACAGATCCCGTGCTAATGTGTACATACATAAGCTTATACTCACACATCACGTACTAATGTGTACATACATCAGTTTAAACTCACACATCACTTGTAAATAACCCCTCATAAACAGATTCCATTACATATACTTAAGCACTCAAAAGTAAATATACATATGTTTTTTTTACCTTTTAAAACCCTTTATTCTATTTGTCATTTTATTTATTTATTTTTATTTTTTATGTTGTTTTTTTAAGGTGAATAAATTAAAAATATAATGATTTACATTGAATTTTAATCATACTAACTTCACAAATGTAATAATTTTATGTGTAGCTACTTTAGCGTTTAACTCACCACATGCTAATGATGTATGCTGCTTAGTTTCATTTAATTAGCGTTTGTTAACTAACGTTTGGCTTCTTTTCAAAACAATAGCATGGAGAGTAACTAACCCTAGTTTTGCTCTGAGCATGATTTAAACAATGAATTCAATTTAACCATGCATTTTGGTTTGTCTTGCTGTGTTTGGTGTGTTGGGGCGTCTTGCTTTATAGCCAACGATTAAAACCTGACATGGTTTAATCAAATAGCAAGACATCTTGTTGTAGAGTGCAACGTACCACTAGAAAATCTGGCATTAACCACACGCTAATGATCTGGCAATGTGGTGCATTTGAACCACTAGACTAAGGGGCAGCGATCTTTAGACATCTTGAAATATCTTAAAGTTACCAATTAAACATCTCGCAAAATTTCTAGGCGATCCAATAGATACTCCCCGGCGATCTATAGACATCTTGGAAATCTTAAAGTAAGCTAGTAATTCGACATCTCGAAAAATTTCTAGGTGATCCAAAAGATACTCCCGAGCGATCTTTAGACATCTTGGAATATCTTAAAGCTACAAATTCGACATCTCGCAAAATTTCGCTGCGACCCACTATAAATCCCACAGCGATCTGTTAGACATCTCGCAAAATTTCTAGGGGATCTAATAGATATTACACAACGATCTCTATACATATTGGAATATCTCATGGCTACCAATTAAACATCTCGCAAAATTTCGCTGCGACCCACTATATATTGCACAACGATCTGTTAGACATCTCGAAAAATCGTTCAGCGTCCAATGTAAACAGCTCACAGCGCACAACTCACTAGTGATTTCAAATAAATCTGTTTGGGATCTCGCGAGTTCGTCAGCGTGCTATCCACTACACCACTGGGACTCCGCTGGTCGATAATTAGCTCCGGTGGTCGATAATTAGCTCCGGTGGTTGATAATTAGCTCCGCTGGTCGATAATTAACTCAAGTCAATTTCATTAACCTCAGCTATAAGCATACTTGTTTATTTCTGAGAAAACCGTTCAGACATCATCATATGGTTTTTGGTGAAACATTAAGGGGGAGAATGCGGCTTAAAATAGGTCAACGGTGTGGGGTGTTGGGTCACAGGGATGGGGGTCTCTAAAGGGGTCTCAGTGGAATAACTAAGGTGGACAACCCCTGGACGAGCTGACCCGAGCAGTGAAATACAGTACGCCCACTGCGCCAATTCCTAATCAGTCTCCCATTAACATAAATCTTCTATGAGCCGGGGATGGCATTTCCCATTCGAGGGGAAGCGTATTGTTAATTAATGAATCAATTCATTAATTAATGCGCGTGTGGATGCCCAAACCGGAAGTTGGTTAAGAAATGTGTGACGTGTACGTTTAGATCAAATTACGACGTAACGTCAAGGGGACTTCAGAAAGATATTTCACCACGAGAATAATTCGTATCAACCTGCATTAAATCTAATTGGATAGAAACAAAAACACCAAAAAAATACCGCACGGAAACACAATCCCGTTAAAGTCTTACGTACGGCGCCCAACGAAGATTCGAACCCTCAGCCTACGGCGACTTTAGTTTACAACCCATTACGCTTCTCTTTGCTTTCTTTTAATTCACAGAAAATAAATGCTATTACAATGATCAGAAAAAGCTCTACAGAGGCTCCCTCTCCCAGACGATCAACTTCCGGACATGCCAACGGTGGGACCGGAAAGTCCCCCACCACCACCAATACAAGGAGAAGGATTTTATCGACGGCGCCTACCCCAAGAATTACTGTCGGGTCACCCCCGACTTTACCGCCCCCTGGTGCTACACCGACGACCCTGAGACCCGCTGGGAAAACTGTTCGGTGGAGAACTGCCGTAAGTATGTTTAAAAGTTGCACCGAGAAAAGAAACGGTGCAGAAACTATGCGATCAGCACTGTGGTTTATCCAAAAAAATTGTTTATTTACGGAAGTAAACGTATTTTTTTATCATACATTTCATTCATTAAAATATCGAGAGAAAAAAAATCACATACATATAGTACGATACATTTGATTGTATATTTTACTGTATTTATGCTCAAAATTATGAACTAAAAAACAGTAAGCTATTACTTAATTATAAATTTAACTACATCTTTTGCGCAGGTGGACGCCGATTATTTTAACGAAGTTGAAAAATGTTCACATTTTTATTTAAATGACATACATTACTAAGCTCTGAATAATAAAAACTAAATAGCAATGAGATATGAATATGAACAATGAATGAAGTAAAATTTTTGAGACGACTCATGTAGAACAGCATTGTGCCAGTGTGTAATCTCTTTTTTTCGCGTGTGGCCTACAGCTTTAAAACTTTCGCATGCTTTTTTTCTATCTACAGATTCTTTAGTGCATTGTTACAATAATTATAGATCTAGTGAGTCTAGTTTTTCTTCATATAATTTTTTCTATCTGTGCAGCAAAATCCCGCTCTTGTATTTAGACTAACCTGGAGGATGAATTATTAATGTTTACAAGTTCTAGTCAATGTTCCGTAATAAAGTTTCTTTGATACAATCGCTTGTCTAAGAAATTGCAACATATAACTAAAAGTAAATAAAATAAGACGAGATTGGTCTCCTAATGTAGCTTCAAATCAGAAATTCTGGGCATGTATACTACAGAGAAGGGTTGGCGTGGCCTAGAGGTAGAGCACTAGACTCGAGTTCAAATCCGGGTTAAAGTCAGCAGACCTTCCCTGAGTCCACCCAGCTCTGATGGGTACCTAACTCACGTTAGGGAAAGTATAGGCGGCTGGGCATAGTGTTTACCTTAATATCCCTTCATATGCCGAGGTCATGAAACATATGAACTCTAACTTCATCTGCCCAATGGATCGCTAGGTCTTAACAGGAATCTTTACTTATCCAAAAGAAAAGCTAAGACAAACAACCAAGTTTTATGTCAATCTGAAGAACACAGTAAGCGCTGACCCAAATCCATTGTCTGAGTACTTGCCTCTGTCTTTTCCCAGTCTTAGAAGAATGTTGTCTGTGTACAATTCAAAAGTTGCCTGTTTTCGCCAGCTGATGCGGAAATGTTTTCATTTCAATCAAATCATGTTTTCTACTCATTAAAATTTTAAGTTTTAACATTCAACGCTACTTTAAAGTTTTAATTTGGAGAAAAAAAACTTACTTTCTAAAAGAAGACATGAAACCGATGTTTTGTTGAGTGATCAAAAGAGTAGATGAGGTCTTTGTTTGGTCTCTTGTGAGTGAGCTTTGATGGCTTGTATAGACAAACCAGGTACTAGTGTAAAGACACGCAATCCTAGTCTCAAAACCTTCTGTACATTGAAAATCAATATCGACTTTGGAACATGTGACAACACGAAATTCCTATATATATATATATATATATATATATATATATATATATATATATATATATATATATATATATATATATATATATATATATATATATATATATATAAATATATATATTTTATATTTATATATATATATATATATATATATATATATATATATATATATATATATAGAGAGAGAGAGAGAGAGAGAGAGAGAGAGAGAGAGAGAGGGTGGGGGGTAAGTGTGTGTGTGTGTGTGTGTGCGTGCTTGCGTGCGTGCGTGCATGCTTGTGTGCGTGCGTGCGTGCGTACGTACGAACTTGCGAGCACGTGTGTGCGTGTATGCTAAGTGTTTCTTTCAGAAATATTTCTCTGGGGATGAGCACTTGAGACTTTCACTGGTTAAGCTATATATTATCTATTTAAAATATATTTATTTCGTTTTCGTTTAGGGGGGGGGTCGAAGAGATGTCTGAAAGAAACTTCGTGCTTGTGTTTATGTGTATATTTAGTGTGTATGTGTATCGGGTTCAGAAATACTGTCTACATCACAGATCACATCACTTTATTTTCTCTAACTTTTCCCTTTCCCTCCTCTCTCTCTCTCTCTCTCTCACACACACACACACACACACACACACACACACACACACACACACATACACACATCGCCTAGCTAAAAATTAAATGACCGTGGGAAACGCCATAACCTGGCCGAGTTAATTAAAAAAAATATCTCCGCGTGGATTCAGAAACTTAACGCTGCAGGAAACGGTGTACGTTTTTTTTTTTTTTTTTACGTAGCGAGATGTTAATCATTATTGGGTGGGTGTTTCCCTCACCAGGATCACAAGATTCTATCGCATTACACAGGAAATTCCCGATAAGGAACATGGAATTCCCGATAAGCCTCAATGAGAAAATGAAAGTGTTGATGTTAAGGTACTCTCCATCGAAAAAGTTCCTTTAAGTTTTTGAATAAACAGTGTTTTCTTAATTTGATTTGTAAAGTAATTAGCAATTATAGAATTTTGAATACTTTTTGTTTAGAAAACGTAGGATCTTTGTGGAGTAATTAGAATCTAATCTAATTAATTACTAGTTTAAAGTCTATGATGCATTTTGGATAAAAGAACCTTCACCTTAGAAATGCTTTAAAGTTTACAAAGACAACTCTTGCAGATAAACTAAACAGGGTTCTGTTCTCTTTGGTTTAGGCGATGGTTTATGTTAGGCTTGAAGCAGGACGCCATGATATTGCTGAGACGGACGGTCACAGCGTATGTGGTATGGTTTACCGACAAGATCAATGCCCATCATCTCCACACTTCTACCCCCCCCCCCCCACACATACACAACTTGTGACGTAATCACATCCAGCATGGGTGGGCTCAGTGGCGTCCAACGGATTCGATCCAAGGTCTGACTTATCAGCGGGATTTACCATTTTCCCCACAATCCTTACAGTTTTTGTAATCCTGCGCTCCACTGCCCCCCCTATCCCACCCACCCCCCCCCCCACACACACACACACACAGGGTGGGCTCAGTGGCCCCAAACGCATTCGATCCAAGGTCTGACTTATTAGCGAGATTTACTTTTTTTCCCACAATCCTTGTAATCCTGCGCTCCACTGGCCCCTTCCCACACCCCACCCCCGACCCCCACCCGCTCCACACACACACACACACAAACACTGCCACCTCTCCCACCCCTACCCCCACCACACACACACACTGCCACATCCGTTTTACACGACACTACTCACACAACGTCCCTGACACTTGCAACAGTAACAGCGTCAGTGAGCAGGCTACTTTAAACAACCGCAGACTTTTTGCTCACTTTGAAAACGTCAAGGCCTAGGCCCCGAGCCTCAAAGCAAATCAAAACAAGGCACTGCACGTGCTGGAAGTCTCCCAGACCTAGGCACCGCCAGCAGGCAACAGACGACTCTACCTATTTTCAGCAGGGAGCACATTCCATTCACCCGGCGTCTCACGCTTGCTACACACCTACACATCCGCTGTACGGTGTTGATGGCAGATTGTCTACCCCGATAAGAGATCCGTGCTTCGTTCATAGTATATGTCCAGTAATGGGAGAATAATAAAGGAATAACATGTTTTTTTTTTAAATAAAGGTTGAATTATATCAAAATAATGCACAAAAATAGCTAAACTTAGAAGGTCCGGGCAGTAAGCATTTTTTGTTTAACAGAACATCGGTCAACTACGCATTCCGTGCAAGTTCTATACACGAGATTTTGATGTCCCTACTTTATGAACGTGCATGTCGACTCAACTTTATATATATATATATATATATATATATATATATATATATATATATATATATATATATATATATATATATATATATATATATATATATATTATTATATATATTATATATATATATATATATATATATATATATATATATATATATATATATATATATATATATATATATATATATATATATATATATATATATATATATATATATATATATATATATATATATATATATAAATACATTTTTAAAGTAATAAGCAATCTAAAACTATATTATATTCAAGTATTATCATGGGACCAGAGTTTCTTCCAGTCCGCCCCCCCCCACCCCCGAAGAAAGTCTACCGCCCCATCCCCCCCCCCCCCCCCCCCCCCCCGAACGAAATGGAATTTATATAGAAAATATATACTTTTACCAGTGTCCGCCCCCCCCCCCCGGAAAATGTTGACCCCCCCCCCCCCCCCCGAAAATATCAAGTGCCCCCTCCCCTCCGGAGAAAAAAAGTCTGGAAGAAACACTGCATGGGACGGCGTAACCAATCGGTAGAGAGCTACACTATTAACCCGAAAATTCCATGTTCGTATCCGGGTTTAAGTCAGTAGAATGTCCTTGAGTCCACCCAGCTCTGATGGGTACCTAACTCCCGTAAAATCAGAAGCCTCGCTAAGTTTTTACATTATAATCATTGAACTCTCAATCAAAGCCGTTAATCTTACATCTCTCTCTCTCCCCTCTCTTGTCCTCCTCTTCCTCCTCCCTCCCCTTGTCCCTCCTTATCTCCCTCTCTCTCTTCCTCCCCCCCCCCCTTTCTCTCATGTAGAGCTTACTCTGATCTCTAGCGACAGAACATGTTGTTTGTGTTCAAAGTGTAATCAGGTTAACTAATTAATCAGGGCAGCAATTTAACAGCTTCCAGTGCTAATATAACTTGGCTTATTTACCTTGAAGCAATTTTTTAAAAAGTAACGAAACAAATTAAAACAAGCGTGTTGTATATAACGAATGATGTATTTTGTTTTTATATAACCATTGCTTCCATGTGTGCAATAATAATAACAGTACTAGATCTAATAATTTTATCGCAGATTTTTTTCCCTAACAAAATTATGGTAAAAAAAATTAAGAACTTCATTACTATGGTTCAACACGTATAATTTTTTTAAAATTATTCAACTTTCATTTTTATTTAAATGCCCTCACTCCACTAAAATTGA